CAATGCTCTCGCCAGAAACGGACAAGGTCGCCGTACCACCCTCAACGACGCTCGCGCGAGGAGTCGATGCACTCCCTTACATCCTCCTGCCCCTTGCCGGTCCCGAGGAGTTCGAACTCGAGGTACGCCCTCCATAGGGTGATTTCAACATGCGATTAATCTACCTGTGTATAGGATCAAGAAAAGCTCCCAGAAGCACTCCAATTCCTCCCGCCTACAAAAACGCGTGAATCCGACCCGGCACTCCGGCTGATGCACGTCGAGACCTTGCTCTTGCTGTGCCACACGCGCTGGGGACGAGACTATATTCGCGAGCACGGTGTGTACGAGATCGTACGAGCTGCGCACTTGGTAGAGACTGTCGACAAGGCATGCTTCAAATAACCTTGAGATGGATGGAAGGAGCTAACTCTATGCTGTAGATCTCCGAACACATTGAGAGGTTGGTGACGCTGATAAAGGGGGACGAACCCTCTGATCCGAGCGAACTGGACGAGGGTAGTCTTGAGACGATCCAAGATGCGTCTGTAGGTGCTCCGGAGGGCGCTGAGAGGAGGCAGATTACGTCTGCGCCTGTGGAGGACGATGATGAGGATAATAGAATTGAGGAAGTGTAGAGATCGTTGATGGTACCAACGATAGCATCTACCACTAACCACAACATGCTCGAGACGATCGAGTACCTTCCCGCGCACGACATCAACACAATTGTATAAATTTGCTACGGCTTCGTAGGATAGTGAGATCGATTGTCAAGGAAATCTCATTATGTCAGGCGGAGACTTCAAGGCCTTTTGTGTCCCTTGAATGAGCTGATCCCACTCTGTCAGTCTCATGGACAATGTGTAACTTATCCGCAATCATGATGCCCGAAGCTTCTCTCAGAAACAAAACTCCTGTTTTGTCACAAGCGCTCGTTCTCATTCGCACGCCATGGCATACTGTCCCCTACTAACAATAGGTTTCCATGTTCCGTATGTAGTTTCGCTTGTTGTCGTTTTTGACTTTGCTTGTTTACTCACACATGGCGATCCCTCCGAATACCTTTGTTCTCTGTCATCTCGCAAAGCTGAACGATTCTAATCTTTGTACCTTGTTCCAAGCAAGGACAATAATTGAA